CGATATTACCGTGTTGATGTTGGATCTCCTGCCAATCTTGATCCAGTTTTTTTAACCGTCTCAGGGCCTTGCAGATGTTCGTCGTCTTCGACTTGATCTCCTTGTGGACATTTTGCTTGGTTTGGAGAAATTCCTGTAGTCCACTGACTAGCTTCTCCAGATTGCCAGCGCATCTGTCCTCTTCATCTTTGCACTAAGTAGCAGTTCGTCTTGCTGGGGATGAGGCCCGTTTTCTCTCTTGTTTATTTCCTGATCAGTGATAGGAGCAAAAGGTCCTCCACTTTTTTAAGGAACGTTGCTCAGCTGTCCGTTTCGTTCTCCTCCATCTGGGCTGTTTGCGTACTCCCTGTAGCATTTCCAGATAGCAGGGCCATGGGGTCCACCCTGCTGTCGTAACGGTTGCTTGATAACGACGAGTTCAGGCCCGTTTGCACGTCTTCCCTCGCCGGCACTGAGGTATCCCTCCTCTGTACTGTAGACAATGTTTCAATGTTTTCTGACATTTCCATATTGTTGTTGGTGTTGTTCATTTAGCTCTACCCGGAGAGCACGTAGGGTGTTAAAGCAGTACCTACGGACGCGAACAACGCTACCCTTGTGTTGTTAGGTCAGTTAGTGTGACCAACCCATTAAAGGGGAGTTTTGTCCACGGGAGCGTATTTTGTTTGGTTATTTTGCTTGACTCCTACCCGCTGTACCCCATCAACTAAGAGATTATCCAAGTGTCATCCAAGGACAGCGAGCGTTCTCCCATCCGCTCGGGGAGACGCGCCCGGTAGCAGTATCTCTTCTGCCCCGAGTGTGTGTGTCGGCGCGTGTGTGTGTGTGTGTGTGTGTGTGTGTGTGTGTGTGTGTGTGTGTGTGTGTGTGTGTGTGTGTGTGTAAACCTCTTATAACTTTTGAAGGGTTTGGCCGATCGGATCGAAATCGGTGGCGATCCAAAGAGTATCATAGCCATTAAATTTCATGAAAATTTGAATCGATTCGGTTCGCTAAATTTTTAGAAATCTCAAAAACAAAATTTTCGAAAAATTGTTTTTTTGGAATAACTTTCAAACGGCTTTACCGATCGATTCCAAAAACGAATCAGCTCTTAACCTTGAAAAACCACGTCGATCACCGTTGAACCGATCAAAATGGGTTGGTTTGTTCGTGAGATATCGAAAACGAAAAATTAAAAAAAAAATATTTTTTCAAAAAATCTCTTAAATGGCTACACCGATCAATTTCAAAAACTAATCAGCTCTTAACCTCGAAAAACCACGCCAATCACCCTTGGACCGATCAAAATCAGTTGATTTGTTCGTGAGATATCGAAAACGAAAAATTTCAAAAAAAATATTTTTTCAAAAAATCTCTTAAATGGCTTCACCGATCACTTCCAAAAACTAATAAGCTCTTAAGCTTGAAAAGATACATCGATCGCTGTTAGACTGGTTAAACCACGTCCATTGCTACCAGTCCCATCAAATTCAATTGATTCGTTCGAGAGTTATCGAAAACGAAAAATTTCGAAAAAAAGTGTTTTTGTCATATAACGTCGAGATTTCTTTTTGGCTCATTTTTGACGAAATAGAATAATTATAAGAGCCCAAAAAATCACCTCGATCGTTACCAAGAACGTGAAAATTGGTTGATTGTTTCGTGAGTTATCGTTGTCGAAAAAATTCGGAAAAAGTGAATTTTTCAAATTTCTCTAAGATTTTCGGTTCGATCAGTTTGTGTTCAAAAGTATATCATAGATTCTGACAAAGTGCGTGGAATACTGCCAACCACGTGAAAATCGATTCATTCATTTAGAAATTATTATTGCAGTTTAACAATTCAAAAAATACTGTTTTATTAAACTTCTATCAGCCTTTTGAGTTCGAAGAGCTCAAAAGCATACAAAAGCTATTTCTTTGAGCTCGGAGAGCTTGAAATAACACACAAATTGTATTTTTGAGCTCGAAGAGCTCAGAAACGGCATAAGTGCAATCTCAAGCGTTTAGGTATGGAATTGGCGAGAAGTTACAGGGATGGCCTTTAGGGTCACCCGTTTTCCAGATTTTTTTAATTTTAAATCGCAATAACTTTTGAATGAATGAATGAACCGATTTTCACGCGGTTGGCGGCATTCTACGCAGTTTTTTAAGCCTCATAAAGAATTCTTAAGTTTCAATTGGTTAAACTAGAAATTTCGGAGTAATTCCGAAAAAACACTTTTTTCGGTTTTTTTTCGTTCACGATATCTCTTGAACGAATCAACCGATTTTGACCGGATTGGCGGCAACCGACGTGGTTTTTTAAGGTTGAGAGCTGATTAGTTTTTGAAATTGATCGGTAGAGCCGTTTAAAAGTTATTCCAAAAAAACCACTTCTGAAAAAAATTTTTTTCCTATTTTTTTGGAGATTTCTCTAAATTTCTCCAAATCTATCGGTCCGAATCGGTTCAAATTTTCAGGAAATCTAAGTTTAGTGAAGCCTTTTCGAATGGCACCAACCGCGATGAAATCGGTTCAACCGTTCAAAAGTTATAAGAGGTTTACATACTTACACACACACACACACTCACATACATACAGACATAGTGACACCCTCGCGGGAATAGTCAGGGAAGCTTCCTAGGACCTTAAATCGTTGAGATCTGATGAAAACTCGATTTTCGAAAAACGGGGTAAAACCAATAACTTCCCGATTTTTGAAAATTTTCAATTTTCTTAGCGGGAAGTTAAAAATTTTACTTGTAGAAAATTTGAAAAATTAGAAGTTTAATTTTTTTAGTTTTAATTTAATTAATGAAAAAAATTTTTAAACGTCTGCTGATTTCAGTATCATAAATAATTAAAAAATTTTTTTGAAAAAATAAATATAAGTACCTTTTAAACGCCTTGTAGGGTTCCGATGTTTGTTTGCTGGCAACAAGAGGCTTGAAGCCTTCTTCAAACGACATAGAGCTGAACAAAGTCAGCAGTACAGAGAAAAATAATCCAAAAATGTTATCCTGAGCAAACTTTTGGCCCCTCAAAAATTTTTCATGGTCCAGCCAATCAGGTCTTTCATCCATTGGTATTCCAGAGTCGCCATCAACTGTCAAGCCCACTGTCATCGGAATCAGCGATTCAGGTACGTGAGGAAAAGCTTCACGGGCCCATTTAAGCAACAGTTCACTCTTTTCTTCTTTTCTTAATATTTTCCAGTTTAGGGGAAGCTTCACGTTGAATAATTCTTGGATTATTTCTTCAGAATATTCGGCCAAGATGCTGGGTGAAGAAATCTCCGGTTGTTTCGGCGACATCTTTGATAGTTTTATGGTTTAGTAATGTGTTATGACATAAAACACTTATAAAATCAAACTTATTGTATAAAATGGTATAATATTTTTAGAAATGCACTTGGGTTTTTATATTTTTCATAACTCTTGATAATCATAATCTACTCAAGTCCACAGTTAAAATTTGTGTGAATAATTTGTTATACATATTTATTTAATTGATAAAAATTACAGAAATACACTTTAGACGTACATGATGTCAAATCTATTCAAGTGATCATTTTTATGATATTCAATCAGTTAAAAAAAAAAAAAAATTATTTTAATTAAAATTATTTATTTATAATAAAAAAATCATTGATTAATTTTTTAAGATGTAAAATGAAGAAAAATATCAAGAGTTAATGATAAATTGTTATTACTCAATGAAAAAAATTTTTTTTATAATCATGATTATAATCTATATTATTACGAGAGTAAGAAAAATTTTGGATTCAGGATAGTCATATGGATGGAATTAAGCAATAACGTCTTAACCAACATTTAAAAAAAAATCGAGTTATTATGATGAACTGAGTAATCTTATGATACTAAGTACGTTCATCATAATAACTCGATTTTTTTTTAAATGTTGGTTAAGACGTTATTGCTTAATTCCATCCATATGACTATCCTGAATCCAAAATTTTTCTTACTCTCGTAATAATATAGATTATAATCATGATTATAAAAAAAATTTTTTTCATTGAGTAATAACAATTTATCATTAACTCTTGATATTTTTCTTCATTTTACATCTTAAAAAATTAATCAATGATTTTTTTATTATAAATAAATAATTTTAATTAAAATAATTTTTTTTTTTTTTTTTAACTGATTGAATATCATAAAAATGATCACTTGAATAGATTTGACATCATGTACGTCTAAAGTGTATTTCTGTAATTTTTATCAATTAAATAAATATGTATAACAAATTATTCACACAAATTTTAACTGTGGACTTGAGTAGATTATGATTATCAAGAGTTATGAAAAATATAAAAACCCAAGTGCATTTCTAAAAATATTATACCATTTTATACAATAAGTTTGATTTTATAAGTGTTTTATGTCATAACACATTACTAAACCATAAAACTATCAAAGATGTCGCCGAAACAACCGGAGATTTCTTCACCCAGCATCTTGGCCGAATATTCTGAAGAAATAATCCAAGAATTATTCAACGTGAAGCTTCCCCTAAACTGGAAAATATTAAGAAAAGAAGAAAAGAGTGAACTGTTGCTTAAATGGGCCCGTGAAGCTTTTCCTCACGTTTTTTTTTGAGAATTAAGTGTCATTGCAAAGGTCTTGACTTGAATTTGTGCCTTTTCAAGGTTTCATATAATTTTCACCGATAGCCAATTTATTATGATAAGTATTTAGGCTACATTCGAAAATGCTCTATCTCTAGATACATAATTAAGAAATTACCTTGTATCTTGTGAACTAATGACATTTTTAAAGATATAAGCTCACCCTGACATTACACTCATCAAGACCTTTCATTTGAGTACCCACATCAATTTGTCATATATTTATATATATTATATGTATGTATATATGAAAAATATATCAAAATGCATGTGGATACTCAAATGAAAGCTCTTGATGAGTGTAACATCGGGATGAGCTTATATCTTCAAAAACATCAATTATTAAGAAATTATTTTTTATCTTGTGAAATATTGACATTTTTAAAGATATAAGCTCATCTCGACTTTACACTCATCGAGACCTTTCATTTGAGTACCCACATCAATTTTTTATAAATTTATATATATTATATATGTATATTAGGGTGGCGCAAAAAAACCGACTATTTCTTTTTGAGTCTCGGGTGAAAAAATGTTAGTTTTTGATGTTTTAAGAGACCTCACCAAAGGACAGCTCAAAAAATTATTTTTAAGAGGTCACTCCAAATTTTTCAAAATTTCAAAAATCGTCAAAAATCGATTTTTTTTTAATTGTTTTTTCTCGTTACGGTATAATTTTATAGACCAAAAAAAAAATAAGTTTCTGAAAGTTTCAGTTCAAAATTAAAATTTTGAAAGATCGCTCATAATTTTTTTTATTTTTCGTTAATTAGTCATATCGCCGACTTTAAGTGTTGGGAGTGGTACGCTGGGGTCTTTTTGGTTTGAAAAAATCGTAACCTACTTTATTTTTTTTCTCGTTACGGTATAATCTAATAGACCTAAAAAAAATTAGTTTCTGAAAATTTCAGTTCAAAATTCGAATTTTGAAAGGTCGCTCATAATTTTTTTTAATTTTTCGTTAATTAGTCATATCGCCGACATTAAGTGTTGGGAGTGGTATGTTGGGGTCTTTTTGGTTTGAAAAAATCTTAACTTACGCGGCAAGGTCAAATTTCAACCAAGCTGGTTTCTAAGACCAGCTTGGGATTCGAACCCACGCCTGGTAGTTGGTTAAATAAAATTATTAAATTGAAAAAAAATTATATTTTCTATGTTGTGCTTGATTTTTAGTTCATCTCGTGATGTATTCTTATCGATTATTGTACTAAATAAAAAAAAAAATGCATGAAATTTTAATTTGAATAGTAAAAGGTCGCTCGAAAAAATCTAAACTAATACACTAATAAATTGAAAAAAATTATGAGCGACCTTTCAAAATTCGAATTTTAAACTGAAATTTTCAGAAACTTATTTTTTTTTGGTCTATAAAATTATACCGTAACGAGAAAAAAATAAAAAAAAAAAATTTGATTTTTGACGATTTTTGAAATTTTGAAAAATTTGGAGTGACCTCTTAAAAATTTTTTTTTTGAGCTGTCCTTTGGTGAGGGCTCTTAAAACATCAAAAACTAACATTTTTTCACTCGAGACTCAAAAAAAAAAAGTCGGTTTTTTTGCGCCACCCTAAAATATATGTATATTACTTCAATTACTTTTTTGAACATGACAGTTAGCAACTGTAATCTTTATTGTTGATCTTATTGAAATATATTTATTTGTATAATTATTACGAAGTTAAATTAAGTTATTTGTTTGTATTAAATGATCCAGCTGGATTTTATTACATTTAAAATTAAATCTAATTGTAAACCTTTAATTAGTTAAGTAATCTTGTAACCTATGTAAACCAATGTAATTTAAATATTGATGGCTTTGAGGGAGCTTAGGCTCCAGAGCCAAATAAAATTTTTTATCTATCTATCTATCTATCTATATATCAAAAATATATCACAATACATGTGGGTACTCAAATGAAAGCTCTTGATGAGTGTATCATCGGGATGAGCTTATGTCTTTAAAAACGTCAATTTTTAAGAAAGTACAGTGCAATTTAACAAGAGTCATTATTTAATAAAGCAAAATTTTATTTATTTATAGTTCACAAGTCACGGCAGTCACATAGTGACTGCAAGATTGCTAGTAACAATTATTAAAGATCAGTTAATTTTCTGTTATAAGAAATCTACCTGGTAATTTCAGACCGAAAATTTTTATCATTGTTAAAAAAAAATTCATCATATTTTCCTCAAAATTTGAATACATAATACTCGCTTTTAATTTGAATGATTTCCAATATTGTAAATTGATAACACGCTCTACAATCGATTGAACCTATAAAGTGTTTATTATTAATAAAAATACCAAGTACTCATTTATCTATTGTTATATAACTCACCTTATGTAAGTAAAGAAAAAAAGTTATTATCTCGATAAACATCAAATGTAATCATACATTATATCTAGATTTTTTACGTAATTATTTGTAAACTTTGTTTCCACTTGTTTCATTCGTTGCATTAGCTTCTGAATTGAATTCGACATTTCTTTCAAGATAAATCTTAACCAATACTTTGCAAAGTACGTTAAAAAAATTTTTCTTGCTACTTTTTTCAAAATTTATCGTTACAAAATAAAATTTATTTAACGAATAAAATCAAAAAATGACTGAGTACTTCTAAATGGATTAACTTTATATATATTGTAACCAATAATCTAATCATATCAGGGTATTAGCAAAGGATTAATTTTATCATCGATTAATTTATAACTTATGCAAAGCACTTATTAAGAATTGTAGGTCGAATTTATCCGAATCGAATAAGGAACGTCGTGAATAGTCGTATTATTACACGACTTCTTGGTTCTTCTTATGACGTCATCAAGCAACTGTTTCTTGTACTCCATCCATCTGTAAAAATCAAACAGTCAGTCTAAATTGAAAAGAGTATCAGTTTAAAAAATACATTACTTCTTGTTTGTAATGAACTGTTGAAACAGTTTATCTCTCGTCGGGTATTTTGAATTCATAAATACTTTGACTCGCTGCCAAATATTTGCGTGGTTGTGCTCGAGCAACCAGTAACGGGGAATCAATAAACAGCGTACGGGTGTTGTTGATACTATACGTCGATTTCGCATTTCTTCACCTTTAAAGTAAATTATTTTTAATATCATACAATAATAATTAGGTTAGTAGGGATCCATACTAAAAGGGCAAACAAAAAATTTTTTTTGCCATTTGTTTTAAAATTGTTCAAAACGCAAAAATCTGTAAAAAAAAAATTTGAGTTTTTTAGGTAAAAGGGCATATCTCGAGACATAAAAAAGTGTGTGCCAACTCCGACACACGACTGGAGTTTACTCCTTACGAACGATTATAAAATAAATAGATTAGTTAATAAGGGTAAATGAATGTATTTCTTATATTACTTAGAGTATGCATGACACATCTATAGATTGATTTTTATTCATTGAGTAAATAAATTTTCTCAATTTTGAAATAAATATCAATTGATATAAATTTATATTTATATCAATTATAAATAATATAAATAAAATATAAAATTTACGATAAAACCTCCGCAACATTTACGATTTTCAATTTTACGGAAATTCAATATTTAAAATAATATTGTTTGAGAAATGACAATATATTCAAATTTCAATATTTTTTTTCGTTTATTTGTTACTTTGAATTATTCTTTAGAATCATTTTCATAAATTAGCTTATGTCAGATTGGCATTATTTTATTAATGCAGCATTTTATTTGAATTTTTTATTTTTAAGTGACTGCCTTTTTAGATGTTCTTTTTCGAAAATTCGCGGATTTTTTCTTTGTCATTTTGCACGCCTCATAAGCGAAGCGTTGAAGTTGTGCTCTACTCTCGACATTTCGAAAAAAGCAGTTTTCTCGAAACTGAAATTGATTTTTTGTTATTTATATCGCACTTACAGGTTAAAATGAGTACACTTATGTCAAGTCAAATAATTTTTCAGGCACATAAAATATATTTCAATAACAATTTTTTTGTTTAACATAATAAATAATAACATTAAACATAATCTTTTTTGGACGTCCGTGTATGAATGGGTGTATGTGGCAGGGAAATTGGTCGAAAAAATGATCGTACCGGAATAATTTTTTTTTAATTATCTAAAGTAACACACGACAGAATTTCTTAGTTAATATGAGCGTTCAATTCACTGTCGTTAAATTATTATTTATAAAAAACTAATATATGACTGTGAATTTTTTTGTATATCTATCTATACATTTTATTATAGTATTTTGTTTCCTCACCTTGCAGTTATGGCGCCACAAAACCATAGCAGTGTTTTCTGTTTTTTATTATTTTGCTTTCTATATTTTATTTTAAAAAATGAGATTATAAGGCGTGCACTTTTGGATTTTCCAAACTTTTTATATTTTCCACTCAAGAATATCTTTACCTTGAATTAAGATAGGCAGTAACATTAATTTAAGATACCACCGATTTGTTTTAAGAATACCAAAAATGTTCGGATTTCTGTTATTTTCTATACCTTTAAAAATAAGCCTCAAACTCGTTTCAGAATAGATTGAAAATTTTTTTTCTTTTTCAAGTATTTTTTTAATATTTTGAATGATGAAAATTTTTTATAAAGCGAGAATATACAAAAATTCTTAAGGGGACCCGGTGGTCTAGCGGCCTAAAATTTAAGCTATTTTTACAAATTTTATTTCTATGTGAAGGTAATGACTAATGCTTTCAAATTTTTTTACACTTATTCTAATACTTATCAACTACACAAAAATGAAAATCAAAACCAAAAAAAATTTTTTGCAGCATTTTATTTGAATGTTTATTTTTAAGTGACTGCTTTTTTAGATGTTCTTTTTCGAAAATTCGTGGATTTTTTCTTTGTCATTTTTTACTTTACGCTCAATTTACACTTGGCGTTATATTCTTTTTGCCCACATTAGCAGTCTTTTTTTTAGGTTTAGTAAATTTGACAAAGGGCATAATTTTAGATTTTCAACATTTAGACTTTAGAAACGGCCGAATTTACAATTTTCAATTCAACTATAAACTTGAATACCTATTTGAATTAATGCGCGCGGCTGTATATATTATATACCTATATATTTTATATAGTAATAAGTTATTACTAATAACTAATAACATATATAGGTATACTTAATGCGTAAGATGACCCGCAACATACCCCGTGAACGCAGAATCGAGGTTACGCACCAAAAACGTAACGAGGTCATTCATCAGTAGATTTTACTCCTCAAATTTTTCTCATACCGGGCGCCTTATATATGAAAATCGATTCTTAAGGAGTAAACTCCAAAAAAAAACGAAAGTGTGAATTTTTTATTGAAAAAAAATTTTTTATAAAAATTATGAAAGAAAAATCGAAACATGGATACGCTATAAATTAGAATAATTTAAAAAAAATTTCAAAAATATTCTTTTGGATTTTGCATATATTTTTTGTAATGTTTTTTTTTTAATATTTTTAATATTCTTAGATAAATTGGCTTTAATAATTGGCTTTAGATAAATATTTTAGTAAATTGCTCAGAAAAAAAATTTATAAGCCCTTTTAACTTTAGATAATAAAACTTTCAAGTTCCTAAAGTTAAAAAGGCGCATAATTAGAAACATGATGAGTTTTTCAGCTTTCGGAAATAAATATTTGATTTTTATGCGTAGAATATGTCTACCAGGTGATTGGCGATAAAAAAAAATAATTATGCGCCCTTTTACCTTTTGGCACGCAATGTATTATGAATTATGATTATAATATAAAATTTATAATTAATAATTCATCTCCACAGATTGTAAATGTATATAATACTTACCAAGACCAAAACAAGCGCCACGATGGAACTCGGATATTTGGATAAAAATAGTTCGAACTGCTTCTGGATAAATTTGGTCGGATAAATTTGAAGGTTTGCGCATCAAAGCTGTTGTAACGTCCGTTATTTCATGCCACTGGTTTACCTTTAGAATAATTTGAGTAATTAGTTTGCTAAAGATTTAATCTGCGAACTTTCTGAAAATTTCAGTGTAAACTTTGTCAAACCACTAACTTTACAAAGGTCAAAACTTAAATAGAGAAGTACCTTGAAGATAACTTAGTTAAATTTGCGATATCAAGAGTAATTATTAATTAAAATAATTGAATACTCACTACATCTTGTAATGTTGCTGTAATAGTACTGTCTCGGTCACAGTCCATAGGATTTTTTATTTTTTGTGACAGCAATTTTTTAGTAAATTCTTTAACCTCCGGAATTTCTTCAGGTTTGTTCTATTTCAAGTTAATTTAGTTAGAAAAATAACAATATCACTACTTTTATAAGATAAAAATAATTATGATACTTAAATTGAGAGACATTGAAAATTTTTAGAAATATTTTTACTAATAGATTATAACAAGAAAAATTTATTTTAAAAATTCTATATTTAGAAACTCTAAAAAAATTAGAAATGCAATTTTTTAAACCTATTTTATTATTAAAGAAAAATTAAAAAATTTTCAAGTCTCTGTCAATTTAAATTTGATAAATAATTTACTAGAAAATTAATTTCTCCATTTGATTTCCGGCTGAGTCTTTTACTGCTCCGCCGCGGTGTATTTAATTTATCCGGATCATATAACTGATACGTCATTTTGCCGTAATGTTTTTCTTCTAGAATTAACATGTGTTCGATAAGCCGACATGTACCCGACAATACGAAGTAGACGTAGTTCACCATACCTTTGCCGTCACCTAACAAAATCTGAAAATTAATTCAACAAAATTAATTAAAATCAACAAATCATCTATATTATTAAGAGAATAAGCGAAATTTTGTGGCCAGTGTATTTAGATGATAAAATGGGTTTTTATGGTTAAATTTGATATCGTGGGAAAAGTCTTGACCTGGAGTTGTGTCTTTTCATGGTTTCATATCATTCTCACCGCAATAGTCAATTTATGATGATAAGTATTTAGGCTGCATTTGAAAATGCTCTATCTCTAGATACATAATTAAGAAATGACCCTGTATCTCGTGAACTATTGACATTTTTAAAGATATAAGCTCATCCCGATGTTACACTCATCGAGACCTTTCATTTGAGTACCCACATCAATTTTTCATATATTTATATATATTATATATATGTATATATGAAAAATATATCAAAATGCATGTGGGTACTCAAATGAAAGCTCTTAACGAGTGTATCATCAAGATGAGCTTATATCATTAAAAATGTCAATAATTAAGAAATGACTTTGTATCTTGTGAACTATTGACATTTTTAAAGATATAAGCTCATCCCGATGTTACACTCATCGAGACCTTTCATTTAAGTACCCACATCAATTTTTCATATATTTATATATATTATGTATATGTATATATGAAAAATATATCAAAAATGCATGTGTGTACTCAAATAAAAGCTCTTGATGAGTGTAACATCAGGATAAGCTTATATCTTTAAAAACGTCAATAGTTAAAAAAGTACAGTGCAATTGAACAAAAGTCATTATTTAATAAAGCAAAATTTTATTTGTTTATAGTTCACAAGTCACGGCAGTCACGTAGTGACTGCAAGGTTGCTAGTTTAATATCAATATCTATAATAATTTCTATATTAAAATATCATGAATATTTGGCTTTTTTTCAAGCATCGAACCAGAATGACCCTTTCAAGCACCAAAAAATATCACTAAAATTAGCCGAAGTTCAACAATTCTTAATTTTTTTCAACAGCTAAATTATAAATAAAAAAATACTTAATAAAAATTACACGTATACTTTTTAAAATCTTCTTTTTTCAATAAAAAATTGTCAAACGTCGACTAATCTTTGAGATTGTTTAGAATGTTTGTGTATATTTTTAAAATATCAATTACGATATTTTTTTTTATGTTGCCAAAATTATTATTATTTATTTACTTATTGATTTTGGGCGAAGACACTGTGTATGACCTATCATTTAATATTTAATTTTGATTACTTGCAATTCAGTCTAAAAAAAGTGAAGTCTTTTAGAAAATTGCAAAATCTTATCTACAAGAATTTTTAAAACAGCATATTTATAAATAAGCACAATAATAAATATTTTATTAATTCGATAGCTTAGGAATAAAGAAACTAACGTTGAAGAATTTTTGTCAACTCCTTTAGATATTAATCTATATTATTAAGAGAATAAGCAAAATTTTGTGGCCAGTGTATTTATATGAAAGAATGAGTTTTTATGGTTAAATTTGGTATCGTTAGAAAACTCTTGACTCTAGAGTAGTACCTTTTCAAGGTTTCATATCGTTCCCTCCAATAGTCAATTTATGATGATAAGTATTTAGGCTGCATTCAAAAATGCTCTATCTCTAGATACATAATTAAGAAATGACTTTGTATCTCGTGAACTATTGACATTTTTAAAGATATAAGCTCATCCCGATGTTACACTCATCAAGAGCTTTCATTTGAATACCCACATACATTTTGATATATTTTTCATATATACATATATATAATATATAATAAATATATGAAAAATTGATGTGGGTACTCAAATGAAAGCTCTTGATGTGTGTAACATCGGGATGAGCTTATATCTTTAAAAACGTCAATAATTAAAAAAGTACAGTGCAAATTAACAAAAGTCATTATTTAATAAACCAAGATTTTATTTATTTACAGTTCACAAGTCATGGCAGTCACACAGTGACTGCAAGGTTGCTGGTAATCATTAATACAAAAACTTACCTCATTGGCTTCAAAGTCTTTTATTTTACTCAAAATACAGCATTCTCTGACAGTAGTGTCGTCCCAAGACTTGAAATAATTAAAATTAACCAACGCGTCTTGCAAAATGGTCCAGTTTTGCAGTAAAATATTTTTTAACAGCCGATCAAAATCAGTTTTATGAAGACAGATCAAATCTACAGCCGCTAAAAATTTAATTTATTTGATAATAAATTAAATAATTAAATTAAATTATTTTACTAATATTATACTTCATACTTTTTGTGATAATAGTTGTTGACCGTAAAATTGAATGTAAAAGCGCAACTTCACCGAATATGTCACCGGGCCCTAAAATTCCTGTATGTATTTCTTTCATATCTCCTGTTAATTTAAAAAAAAATTTTTTATTAATTATTGAAACATATAACAGTCAATTAAAAATACATACCAGTAATGTAATCCTTCTCAATTTTACTCAACTCGACCTCTCCTTGGACAATAAAATACATAAATTCCGCGGGATGATTCTGTTTGACAATAACTCGCTGTGCGTTAAAACGCTTGTAGTAAACAACTCTGGCAATCAATTGCCGCTCCTTATCCGGATACTTTTTAAACGCATTAAATTTTTTAATCAACTGGACTATATGAACTTTATCCTGTTTGCTTCTTATATTAGGAGATGTCAAAAGAACTGACCGGTCTTGGATACTCAGAGACTTTTCTTCTTTAAGAATTTCGTTGTCTTCTTTTTGCAACCAGTCTTTGTATTCAATAACTAGTCTCACGGCAGCTCTGAATAAATATTTTCCTTTCAGTTTTATCTAAAAAAATTTATTTTTCATTCTCCAATATAATAATATCATTGATACTGAAATCAACAGAGAGCTTATGATTTTCAAGAATTTTTACAATAGTTGAATTATTATGAAAAAATTATAATACTGAAATTGAGACATTTGATCATTTTTAAAATTAAAAAAAAAAAATTGCATCCTTTAATGCTTTAAAAATTGAAAATGCAATTTTTTTAAAAATAATTTTCTAGATAGGACATTAAAGTTAACAGTCACGTGACTATTTTTTAATTTTATTTAACAAATTTGTATAAAAATTAATTTAGCAGATATTTGATAATTTTAAGAATTTTTTTTTTAACTAATAAATTATGGCAAAAACAATTATAAAAAAAAATTGACATGTAGAAATTGAAAAAAAATTAAAAATGCAATTTTTTTTTTAATTATTTTTTGTAGAACAAATTTATTTGTTAAAAAAAAACTACAAAATAATTAAGTGACTGCTAACTTTAATGTCATCAAATTTGTTCCAAAAAATTATTTTTAAAAAATTGCATTTATAATTTTTACATGTTAATTTTTTTGCTATAATTAATTTGTTCTAAAAATTAATGATATTAAAGTAAGCAGTCTTAATTTTTTAATTTTATTTAACAAACAAATTTGTTTTGAAAAATTATTTTAAAAAAAATTGCAATTTTATCTTTTTAAAATTTCTACATGTCAATTTTTTTTCCATAATTTATTTGTTAAAAAAATTGTTAAATGTCTGCTAAATCAATTTTCATCAAAAATTATTAAATATCCACTAAATTAATTTTCATTTCTTGAACTGGTTTTTCAAAAAAAATTAGCAAGTGTCTACTAATTTTCATTGTCAAAAAATTAAATAAAAAAATTACACATGTAGAAATTAAAAACAATTATAAGTAAAAATTTTCAAAAATATTTTTTTTTTATCATAATTAATTTGTCACAAAAATTTAAAAAATTGTCAGATGTCAGATGATGATTTCAATGTCACATCTCATTTTTTTTACAATTAATACTCACTCCAACAGGTTTTTTCTTCTTCAATTGAACGTAACTGAATGATTCTTTAACAGTAGCCTTTTTTTGATTCATACTTAAATTTTATTACAATAAAATGATATAATTAAATTAGTTGCCTCTACTAAAAGCTAAAACGTCAACACTAAAATTTAAAGGTTGTAATATTGATCAAACAAAAGCATGAAACGTCACTTATATTTATTTAATGTGTACAATTACATTAAGAATACAAAAGAAATAATTTATTACACATTTGTCATGGCACTTCTTATTATGTAAAAAAATACTTTAATTCACAGCCAATTTTTTGCAAACTTAAATTTAAAAAATTTCAGAAAGAAATTTAACTTTCCACATAATTAAGCATTGCACGCATAACATCACCAGTCCAATTATTTTATACTGAGAAAAAATACTAACATCTAAATATTTTTCATCTTTTTTATTATTAATATTATTAATGTTGTTATTATTATTATTCTTTTGAATTACAGAAAGAGTTTTCGAGGACTTTTTGCGGAGCTCGGAGTGTTTTTCCTCGGTGAACTTCAACGCGCGATCTATGGACTTGTTGAGACGTGAGTTGAGGAATTCTTTAACTCGAGGTGAGCGAGTGGCGTAGTACATTGTAAATCTGTAAATAATAATAATTATTGTTGTTATTAATGTCTATTTTTTTATTTGCAGAATCGTGATTTATATTTTCATTAATATTTATATAATTTACTTGGTAATGTTGAATTTGAAGCGATCACGGTAGCTGAGTGACGAGCGTAATAGCGGCATGTCGAGATTCAACAGCTCCGTAAGATAGAGTAGACTTACTTCGTAAGAGCTACCAGGAAAATAATATTGCATACCAACGGTAATACATCTCATCATGTGCTCCCACTCAGGAGTTATATCACGCAAATTAGGTTTTACCCATTGGTTTAAATAATCTGCTGAAAGTTGTTTTATTTCTTCCAGCGTTCCGCCGCAGTAGTTGAATCTGTAAGAAGTAATATTCATTTATTTTTTTTTTTATTATCATTTTCCGGGAAAATATTACGAGATAATTTTATTTAAAGAAAAATAATATCGTACTGATAAAAGAGTACATTAACTGTCAGTAAATTAATTAATTTACTTATTTTACTATTTATTTTTTAATTTTTTATAACAATTTTTTAGAAGAAAATTAATATTAAAATTAATCATTCTTCATAATTAATATTAATTAATCTTAATAATTATCAATTTAAGACTAAATTTTTTAAAGGAAAACTATTATTATTAATTTATTTTACCTATTGAAGTTTTTGAATAGAATTTTTTATAATACTAACCATTAGCCGAAGTTTTTAATTTTATGATATTTTTTCTTTAATTAAATTGGAACTAAAAAATATTTTTGATAAATTGCACTTATAGTTTTTCAATTTTTTTACTAATGAATTTTTTTTTTTTTAATTTTTTGTTATAATTTTTTCAATAAAAAAAATTTGTCATGTCGGCTAACTTCATAACTTTTTTTATTATAATAAAGTTAGCGGACATTTTTGATTTTTTGATTTACCTTAATATATTAGATTAGAACTAAAAAATATTTTTAAAAAATTGCACTTATAGTTTTTGAACTTTTTACAGTTAAAAAATTAAAAATAAATTTTTAATGACGGCTAACTTAATTTTCATAAATTTTTTTGTTTACAGAACTTTTTTTCAACAACCAAATTTCAGTAAAAAAAATTAAAACAAATTTCCACATTTAGATATTTAAAATAATTAACAGTGCAATTATGAGCAAAAATTTTTTTGCTATTAATTAAATTAACAAATATAAAATAAAAAATTTTCAGATATGAATTTTTTTCTCTATTCGAGTCATAAAAAATGTTAAAATAAAATATTACACTCAATTTTAATTAAAGGGCCAAAATAAATATTTGTTAATAATTAATAATTTGTTTTTTATAAATGACTTGTTAATAAATATTCATTAAATGATCTAATCTCAAAAAAAAATTTATCAACAGTTAATACAGCTAATTAAATGTCAGCAAATCCTTCCATCAGCACGAACAAAAAAAAAAAATAAAAACAAAAGCGATAAAACACTTACTCGTCCTCGATCCCGAGTAGATACCCGATCCCTCTCCAAACATGGCAGAAATCGTCCAGATCTTGATCAGTGGCTCCGTGGAGCCCGAAAGCCTCGGGATAAACAACGGCCAAGCAAACAAATCCACCTTGAGTTACCGCCATCTCACCTTGGTGCAATCCTTTGGGTCTCACAGCTCTTACAGTTCCTGCCGCGAAAGGACACTGTCCCGACTTCGCTACCGGACACTCAGCTCGGAAATCTTGGAGTAAAATGTTCCGTGTTGGTGACCATGGGCTCTCTATTTTTCCCGCTTTGTCTATTTCTTCATTGGATATCGAGCTCAATTTATTGCGCACTATTGTGTGCATTCTCCTCACTGTTTGAATGTCGTTGTATGCTGACGTGCCCTTGGTCCATGGATCGCTGGTAAACCAATTTCTTACTCGCGCTCCAGTCGATAGATACCTGCATTGATTTCAAAATTTTTTTTAACCATAATATTTTTCTTTTTAATCTATATTTTAGGAATTAAGGTAAAAGACCCAGTTATTAAAAAAAAATAAAATGTTCTCAAAAAATCAATTATCTCAAAATTTATAATTCAAAAATTATATTTATTAATTTATTAGAGAGAATAACTGGGTCTTTTACATTATGATCATTTTTAAAGTCACTTGATAATAAATACTGCTTAAGACACTGTATCTCCTAAAATACTGGAGATAGCCCCACAATATAAAAACATTTTTTGGAGAAAATTTTCTAAGCTACAACTTTTAATTTTTATAATTTTTCTTAAAAGTCATTATTTTAAGAGTTATGACCATTTTTAGAGTGACTAAACAAAGATTTATAGCGACTAAATAATGATTATTCATTTTTCACTATATGAGTACTTTTAAGTTACTATATATCTCCTAAAATATTGAAGATAAGCCTATAGAATAAAAACATTTTTTTTAGAAAATTTTCTAAGCTACAACTTTTAATTTTTATAATTTTTCTTAAAAGTCATTATTTAAGGAGTTATGACCATTTTTAGAGCGACGAAATAATGATTATTCATTTTTCACCATGTGAGTACTAGTTAAGTTACTATATATCTCCTAAAATACTGAAGATAAGCCTATAGTATAAAAACATTTTTTGTAGGAAATTTTTTAAGCTACAAGTTTGGATTCTTACAATTTTTCCTAAAAGTCATTGGCCGCGTTCAGGTTTACTAAGTTCTGAGCAGGGCTGGCTTTATCTACCTATAAATAAATATACCTTGCATTGTTTTATTATAGATTTTTTGAAAAAATAATATAGTTACTTTAAGTTGTTGCTACAAAATATGCTAAGATCTGCCAAGAACTTAGTAAACTTGAACGCAGTCATTATTTTAGGAGTTATGACCATTTTTAGAGCGACTAAATAATGATTATTAATTTTTCACTATATGATTCTAGTTAAGTTACTATATCTCCTAAAATATTGGACATAAGCTTATAGTATAAAAACATTTTTTGTAGGAAATTTTCTAAGCTACAACTTTGGATTCTTACAATTTTTCCTAAAAGTCATTATTTTAGGAGTTGTATACCATTTTTAGAGTGAATAAACAAATATTTATAGTTACTAAATAATGATTATTTATTTTTCACTATATATGAGTACTCGCTAAGTTACTATATCTCCTAAAATATTCAAGATAAATCTATAGTATAAAAACAGTTTTTGTAGGAAATTTTCTAAGCTACTTTGGATTTTTCTTAAAAGTCATTATTTTAGGAGTTATGACCATTTTTAGAGCGACTAAATAATGATTATTAATTTTTCACTATATGACTACTAGTTAAGTTACTATATCTTCTAAAATACTGGAGATAGCCCCATAGTATAAAAATATTTTTTGTAGGAAACTTTCTGAGCTACAACTTTGTATTCTTACAATTTTTCCTAAAAGTGATTATTTTAGGAATTATGACCATTTTTAGAGTGACTCAAACAAAGATTTATAGCGACTAAATAATGATTATTCATTTTTCACTATATGAGTATTGATTAAGTTACTGTATCTTCTAAAGTATTGAAGATAAGCTTATAGTATAAAAACATTTTTTGTAGGAAATTTTCTAAGCTACAACTTTGAACTCTTACAATTTTTCCTAAAAGTCATTATTTTAGGAGTTATGGCCATTTTTAGAGTGACTAAACAAAGATTTATAGCGACTAAATAATAATTATTCATTTTCACTATGTGAGTATTGATTAAGTTACTATATCTCCTGAAATATTGAAGATAAGCATATAGTATAAAAACATTTTTTGTAGGAAATTTCCTAAGCTACAATTTCGACCTCTTATGATTTTTCGATAAAATTTATATTTCTGGAGTTATAGCCATTTTTTATAATAAACTAGTCAATAATTTGATGTTTCATTAAAAAATTTTCTTCTTAAATAATAAAATTTATAAAAAACGTACCTTTTAAACGCAGTGTAAGGTTCCGAGGACTTTCCAGTGACAATCATTGGCTTGAGCCCATCCTCAAAAGAAAAAAGCCCGAACAAAGTGAGCAATTGCGAAAAGTAAATCCCAAACATATTATCCCTCGCAAATTTCTGTCCTCTTCTGAATTTCTCGCGGTCTAACCAATCAGGAACTTGGTCCGCGGGTCTGCCACAGTCCCCATGGACCATCCAGCCTGTCGTGATCTTCAGCAAAGACTTGGGAATATTAGGAAAGCCCTCACTTGTCCACTTGCATATCAATTTTCTCCTTTCTTCATCTCTAATTTCTTCCCAATCAGCGGGCAAATTAACGTTTAGTTGCTTAAAAAACTCTCTGATAACTCTGTCTTGTTCATCTGAGTTGATGTAATTTTTACCGCTAATTTTATCCCCGGAAAGTTGCGTAGTTTCAGTTTCGTTGGATAAATCATTAAATTGTTTTGTGTCGGCAAGCAATTCCCGGTCATTGCACTCTGGATGCTTCATTTTCTTTGTAATAAGTAATAATTCACCTGTTTATTCTCAAAGTTCTTTTTTAAAACTAAAAATTATCAATTTGTAACATTAATAATTATTTAATTGAGCAATTAAATTATATCTTAATTAATTATAATTATAACTATATTATCTTCTTTAAATATTTTTGTATAAAATAATAAAAATATCAATTATCAACTGTCAAATATTTGCACTTAAATTCATTTCTTCGTTAAAAAATGACGAATATTCAAAAAATATTGGATAAAAATTAAAACAAGCCTGCTAAACTGCACTAAAACACATTTCGCGTGCAACTGCAACAATTCTAGACTTCCTGCTATTCATATACACGATAAAACCCCTCCACTCTCTTAATGTCACGTTTTGCAAGCCAAGACGATTAGGAATAGAAGAAACAAGTTTTTTACTTCAATTATTTTTCTCAATCCATTTATTGTTAATTATAATTATTTTTATGTTTTTATTCAAATTAGTGGTTTGCTAATTTATAAGCAACAAATTTTTGTTTTAATTATTTATTGCTAATTATCAACAAATGATTTATGAATTATATTTAGTTTATATTGTCTAGAATTTAGTCGAATTTTTTAACGGTGATAAAAAATACAAAAAAAGCATTTTGAAGATAATGATTTTGCAGATTTTTATTTATGATGAAAATACTTCTGACGTCATTTGAAATATTTTAAGTTTTATCTGACAAAATTAAGTTAGTTTAAAATCTATATTAATAAAATTTTTATTTTTATGATTTAGTAAATAAAATATTATTAAGGTAAGTTGGTTAAAATTTTGAATTTTAATTGTGTTTTTTTTATTAGATTCCTGATGAAGATCACATTTATGGATCGAAAAGTCTCTGAAATATAAATGTGTACTTAATCATTGTTAATTATTTTGTTATATTATTTTTATTATGAAAAAAAAAAATTAAATTTATTAAAGAAAAATTTTTGAACCAAAAAATTATTTAAAATAATTTATTCCTACATTAAGAAGAAAAATTATTTAATTAATAAATTTTTGTAAGTTTAAATAATTTTTACTTTATTGATAAAATAATTTTTTTTTATTTTATTTATTTTTTTGTCATAGAATTGCTGTTCCCTGTGACAAAATAAGTTTATATACTTATTAGAATATTTTTTAAATAATTTATTTATCAAAAATAGTAACAATATTAATATAAAATAATAAAAATCATATGGACATTTTTTTGCAATTGTAAAAAAAAATATTAATTTTTTTGTTTGAGATTTTAAAATTATTTGTTATTAACTAGCAACCTTGCAGTTAGTATGTGACTGCCGTAACTTGTGAACTGATGATATTTTTAACGATATAAGCTCATCCTGATGTTACACTCATAAAGAGTTTTTATTTGAGTACCCACTTGCATTTTTTATATATTTTTCATATATACATATATACGATTTATATAAATATATGAAAAATTGATGTGGGTACTCAAATGAAAGGTCTCGATGAGTGTAACATCAGGATGAGCTTATATCGTTAAAAATATGATTGGTAGATAAAATACAAGTCATTGCTTTATTATTCACATTTTTTAAGATATAAGCTCATCCTGATGTTACACTCACCAAGAGCTTTCATTTAAGTACCCACTTGCATTTTTGATATATTTTTCATATATACATACATATAATATATATAAATATATGAAAAAATTGATGTGGGTACTCAAATGAAAGGTCTCGATGAGTGTAACATCAGGATGAGCTTGTATTTGCAAAAATGTCAATAGTTGACAAGAAACAATGTCATTTTCTAATTATTGACATTTTTTAAGATATAAACTCATTTCAATGTTACACTCATCGAGACCTGTCATTTGAGTACCCACATGCATTTTTGATATATTTTTCATATATACATATATCTTATACATAAATATATGAAATATATGAAAAATTGATGTGGGTACTCAAATGAAAGGTCTCGATGAGTGTAACATCGGGCTGAGCTTATATCTTAAAAAATGTCAATGCAAGATAAAAAGTCATTACTTATTTATATATCTAGAGATCGAGCATTTTCGAATGCAGCCTAAATACTTATCATTATAAATTGACTATCGGTGAGAATGATATAAAACCTTGAAAAGGCACAAATTCAAGTCAAGAGCTTTGCAATTACACTAAAAAAAACCGTAATTTCGCTAAAAAAAACCGATTTTATCATATAAAAACTCTAGCCACAAAATTTCGTTTATTCTCTTAATAATATAGATTAATATTATTGAAAATTTTCAATTATTAATTAATATTGTTAATCTTCTTTAATTATAAATTACTACATCATCTAAAATTTTGAATTGTTAATTAATATTTTTAACTACAAATAAATATTCTGAAGAATTTTGAATTATTAATTTAATTATCAATAAAATTTTCTAATTATTAATCATTAATTACTGTGTTCTAGCAGTATTAATACAAAATATTCATTGAAAAGACACGCGACAAATATGACAGTGATGAGTAGTCACTATACAATACATTGCACACATATCAAAGTTTTTTTATTACATATCAACTGATTAAAGTCCAGAACCAGTTGACCTCGAGTAGAATAATTATTCATATGGTTGTAATTTGTAGGATTATTATAATTTACTTAATCAACAGGTTCGACATCCGCGTGTAGGATATCCTCAATATCATTACTGTTATATGTATCAAATTTTAATTTTTATTTTAAAATATTTACATTGTTATTTGTTTAAATTAAAAGTTTAAAATTTTGGGAAGAAAAACCGGGACAAGTGCAAGATTTTTTTTTCGCATGAATAAATAAATTATTGCCAAAGACTTTGATATTTTAAATAGTGATTGATTTTTGTTAAATAAACCTTGACCATTATTTTAAATAAAAAAAAATTATTGAAAAATTTTCGATTTTTTTCTAGTTTATTATTTTTAATTAGCAGAACAAAATTTCATTAAATAATCTTTGAAAAATATTGAAGCAAAAAGAGCGCGCTTTTGTGAAAAAATTTAATGCCATCTAAACATAAATTGAAATTGAAATTGAAACGGCTTTTGTCGCATTCAAAAGACTCGCGGGTCTTTAATTACGAGTGCAGCCTTATGAATTAATTAAAAAATATATAAAATATAGCAAAGTGTGGATTTCTATGGAATAAAATACAGAAAAGAAAGTTTATTAAAAATCTAGAGGAATAAAATAAATATAAAACTCTTCACCTCGCAAGAGCCTTAGAATTTTTTACAACACCCTCTTTTTGCTAATTGCACGTTTTTTATTTTATGAAAAAAGATCCTTGGATTCTATTGCAATTAAGCTTCCTGCAAGACTACTGCGCATGCCTCGAGTAGTATGATCACACTGACCTTGGCCTAGTACGTAACCTAGGTAATGGTTCAGTTACTTTATAGGAAATATTTTATTTACTTCTTTAATAACTGAATAAATATTTTTTAATTTCTCAAAACTTTTAAATTGTTCAATTTTCTGAATTTTAATTTTAAATATTTGCTAAGCAGTAAAAGATACCAGAAATTTTAGTCTAGACTTTTTTTTTTTTAATTAAATTTTCTAAAAGAAAATCTCTTATCATTTTTTCATATTTTCAATATTTATTTATTTTTAAAGAAACGCCCTCGGCAATTTACAACAATATGTTACATTTTTATGTATAGAATGTTTAGTAATGATTATATACAATAAATAGCATCTGTAAAAAGAAGATAGGTTTAAGAAATTTAAGAAATTAAAAAAAATTTTTTTTAATTTGAAAGAAGAGAAAAACAAAATGAAAATTAAGTTGGCCGACAATTAAAAATTTTTAGAATTTTTTTTTTATTGAAAAAATTATTACAAAAAAATAAAAAAAAAATGTCACTTGTAAAAAACTTAAAAAACTATAAGTGAAATTTTTTAAAAATGTTTTTTCGGTTTAATTTAATTATTAAAAAAAAAAATTAAATAATTAAAAACGTCGGCTAACTTTAGTATCATAAAACAAAACAAGAAAAAATTTTTTAATAATTGATAATTGATAGAATATAACTGATAGTTTATAATCACTATTTGTATACCTGGAATGTTATTATTTTAAAATCACGCTTTCTGCTTAAATTTTTATTTTATCTGCTGGTCCTCCAAAAATGTCATTATCAAATGAAAATTAGCCGACATTTGTTTTATTTTATTTTATGGAAAAATAATTTTTAAAAAATTAAAACAAAAATTTACACATGTAGAAAATTTTTAAAAATTATACGTGGAATTTTTTTAAAATAGTTTTTTAGTTTTAATTTTTAATTAATAGAAAAAATCAAAAACTGCTGAGTATCGGCTAACTTAATTTTTATCAAGATCAATAGCATATTTGTTGATGACTTTGCCTATTTTGTAGATCGGTGTACGCGACGAAAATCGCAACCTTATTAATGGTAATTCCAACAGTCTTAGTCCTCTTAGACAAGTGTATTTAATTTTTAATTTTGGAGTAAATTCTCTAGTTTGACAACTGACGTTATTTCATAACTTAAAACTCGAATTTTGACTGAATGATTAAAGATAGAGAAAAATTGATAACCTTTTTTGTAGAAAATTAAATTTTCTATAAAAACGTATCATCATTTTTTTTTATTTTCAAAATTTAACCCAGAATTTTGATTTTTTAATTTTGGAGCAAATTTTCAAGCTATCATTTGACAGGAAATTATTCCAGAACTTAGATCTCAAATTTCGGCTAATTCATCAAACATACAGTAAAATTGATAAGGACCTCTTTACAGAGAATTAAATTTCCTAGAAAAAATGTTCTTATAATTCTTTATATCTTTAATATTTAGCCCAGAAACTCAAATTTTCTTAAAAAAAACTCCCAAAACTTCACTGATAGAAGGATTTGTCTATATTTAATAAGCTTTATCAACTGTTATTAAATGATTTTTTAACATGATAAGATTAAATAAATATTTATTAACAGT